TTCTTTTTAAGGATTTTTACGTTTTGTTCGTCAGTAGAGTCCTTTTAAAGATTTCATACATTTTGTTCGTGAGTAGAGTCTTTTTTGATACTTTTTACATTTTTTGTCAGTATAGGTTTTTTTAATATTCAATCAGTTTGCTCCTCAGAAGAGTCCTTTTCGGTTTTTAGATTTTGCTCAAAGTAATATCTTTTATTATGTTTTTCATATTTTGTTCGTCAGTAGAGTCTCTTTTAATACTTTATCAGTTTGTTTTAACTTTGCATTTCAGTTTGTGTAATTCTTAGAAATATGAGATAAGGGGGCGTCCATTAATCACGTGAGGCTTTTAGGGACAGGGGAGAGATTTGACAAAAAAATCACGAAAAATTACTTGGGAGAGGGGTGGTTCTAGTAAGATATCACGTGTATTTATTTTTTTACTTAAATTTTCAAAAAAACAAAAATTGTACGTTTTTTTTGTGAATTCGAAAAATTTGTTCGGAAACCAAAAATACACGTAATGTTTGGAAGGGGAGGAGGGATAATTTTAAATATCACAAGTAATATTTTGTCTATAAAATAGTAATGATGAAAGTAACAGTATTTATTTGGTCAGGATCACTATATGATTAATTAAGATATTAAGCTGACTGTAAATTATAAATATTCCATCACCATAAGATATATGCATAAGATCACTATTTAGTTTATGATATATATTGAACTTCACTCTACAACCTGCTTGTTCTCTCGTTACTTCTACTAGTCTCTCTTATTATTATAAATTGAAGGTTTTTATACTCATACAATTATATCCCCCACCCCAAAAGGTCTCGGGTCAAATAAAAAAAGCCCTGGTCAAAACTCGACTAATATTTGAAAACAATTAGTATTCGAATATTTCATTACGGTACGGGAAGTTCCAGCAATTTTCCTTAAGGCACCACTAATTCATTTTTTCATTCCAGACCTCTACTAAACAATCTTCTGGGTATAAATGTAGATTCAAAATATATTCCAATATTCAACAAAACCAAAACCAAAATCCGTGTTTCTGATCATAACACATCGTTGGAGGAACGAATAGCTCGGGCCACAAATCCAAATGGACAAAACCTTTCTAACAAGGTAAAATCTTAGCTTTAAAATACTTACTTAGCTAAAATTTCAAATCTTTTATTCGATCATTTTTCTTTCCAGACAAAATCTCTCTCGGATGATATCCCTGTATTGAGCACCCAAAAATTAATAAACGGTACCGAGAAATTCGAAAGGGCCAAAGTGCCTGTTTTGAGAAAATGGTTACATAGTCATGGAAGTATTTTTTCGTCGAAATGCAAAAAAGCTGAGTTGATAGAAATGTGCAAACGGACCTTAGAAGACTTGCAGACTTGCAACAAGGGGTAAAAGACACTCACCAACAGGTAAAATATAGTAATAATAGAGCATTGTCATGGCAATGCTATCTTATGCTTGTTTATTGGTGAAAATTGTTTATCTATTTGCTGTGCGATCAGGCGTATTTTACATATAAACAAGCAAGAAAGAATCTTATTCTCAAATAAATTTATTTATTTTTGAACTAGTTTATTCTAATATCGACTAAATCATTCATCCTGAATTTATTTTGTTATTATTGATTGTAAATCAGTGATTTACCCGCTCATTTATTATTTGATTCATTTAAATGAACAATATTGCTATAAGATTAAATATTTAATTTTCAAATACATTTTTTTAGCTATAAATAGAATTTTTAAGATTACCTATTCTGCATGTAAAACCCATATGATTAACTTAAGTAGATCTGATAAATGAATCAATAAATGAGTGAATTAATCAATATGTGAATGAATTTATTAATCGTCGCCTGACAATGTTGCAAGTCGCCTGACAATATTTCAAGTCGTCCGAAAATGTTGCGAATTACATGAAAATATTATTAATTACCATAAAATGTTGAAAATTGAAAAATGATGTTGCAAATCGTTTGAAAAAGTTGTTACTAGTACGAAAATGTTGCAAACTGCCTGACATTTTCGTAAATTATCGAAAATTATGGTAAATTTTCAAATTGGCTGAAGTTTTTGTATATTACTTAAAATTATTTTAAATTGTCCGAAAATGTTGCAAAATGTGAAATAAAAATTTAAAGTTGTCTGGAAATGTTGCAAATTGCCTGAAGTTTTCATAAATTACCTAAAATTTTTGTAAATTGGCAGTGAATAGTGTTGCAAAATGTGAAAGAAAAATTAATGTCATCTGAAAATGTTGCAAGTGATCTGAAAATATTGTAAATTGTAAGAAACCTTTACAAATTGTCATTAATGTTATTACTAATTGTAATAATTTAGTAAATAATTATTTACTAAATTATTACACCAATCACTAATGAACTGAATAATAAATTTATTCATATATTGATTAATTCACTCATTTATTGATTCATTCATTAGATCTACTTAAGTTATATGGGTTTTACTTGCAAAATAGGTAAACTTACCCAGTAAACCACAGAAGTTAAATCCACGTAACTCATTTTGTAACTTTCGTTTCGAAACTGATGTTAAGTAAAAAAAACGATGCTGTTACGTATAGTTGTGAGCTTTAACCACCGTCGACCAGTTTAAACGTTTATAATACTGAAAGATTCTATTTACAGCTAAATATAAAGAAATGTATTTGAAAATTAAATATTTAATCTTATAGGAAAATATTTTTAAATAAATATCGATTTATCCTCTTACTTATATAACTGCATCATCGAAAATTCTGTTATCATAACATTCTTCCTTGCTTATTTATACATAAAATACGCCTGATAGCACAGCAAATAAATAGATATTTTTACCACCAATAAACACAAATAAGATATTTTATGCTATTTTATGAGGCAGAATTGCCCCTATAGTTTATAATTTTATAAAAGTTGGTGGTATATTGTAAGTAGCATATTTTGGTAATTAATTTATTACTATAATGCAGTGATTTAATATAAAATTGTTATTGGCGTTTAGTATTATGTTTCTTGTTATTTGCGATAAACGTTGTAACGTTTATATATATATAATATATATATATATATATATATATATAATAACATGTTATTAGTTTCATATTATAATAATAACTATAAGCATTATTAAGTTTTTTGATTAACTTAAGGAAATGTATTTATTAGGCATTACAGACTAGGTATTTTGTCCGGGTATGTCGGTCTCAATACCTCCTGAATATAATACCGATTAAAACCTCCGCCGTTAGGCTTTACTTTATGGGGGGAGGATCTAGAATGCTATAATTTTTGCTCTGAAATTGTACTTATTTTCTTATTTCTGATTCAATTTAATTCTTTTCCTTGTCTCTTGTTCCCATGGAAATCGCCGTTATAGGCATTATTTCATAGGGGAAGGATATAGAATGCTATAATTCTCTCTCTGAAATTATACTTATTTGTCTAATTATTTTTGTGTGTATGTATGTGCGGATACAATCTCTGGTCGACGATTTCGGGAGCACGGATCAACCGATTTGAATGATTCAAAAAACATTCGATTCGTATTGATAAGGAGATGTGCTGATTAGTTTTTGTCAAAGGCAGGTCGAGCCGGAGATATGGAACTAAAATGGCAATTTAGTTTTTGAACAAACGTATTTTGCTCGTTATTTTTGAAAAAAAAGTTTGCGTTAAATTATATATTTTGCTCGTCAGTAGAGTTCTGTTCTTATACGTTGAAAATTACAAAACACGTCTTTATTTTCAAAAGAAAGTTTTAAAAAAAAAATATTTTTGTGAAATTGGATATTTTGCTCGTCAGTAAAATTCTTTTTCAAATACATACTTACCAATATTACAAGATTTTTGTTTTGTTAAATTAGATATTTTGCTCGTCAGTACAGTTCTTTTTTTTTTGTTTGTTTTGGAACGAATATTTTTATTTAAGTTTGAGAACATTATTTTCGAAATGAAGTTCTAGTAAAAAAATTCTTGTGAAATTAGATATTTTGCTCGTCAGTAGGGTTCTTTCTTGGCTCGTTTTAGATACTTTTATTTGAGTTTGAGAACACTATTATTGCAATATAGTACACAAAAAAATTGTGTAAGTAGATATTTTGCTCTTCGGTAAAGTTCTTTTACCTCGTTTCACAAACACTTACAAAACATAAAAGTATACATATTCAAAAAAAAAAAATTGTTGTTTAAGACGATATTTTGCTCGTCATTAGAGTTCTTTTTTAAATAAGATATTTTGTTTGTCAGCAGAGTTCTTTTTTGGCTCGTTTTAGCTTTCCTACTTTAAGTTAAATAATTTTAGTTTCGAAATAAAGTTCTCAACAAAATTTTTTTTGGTAAAATTAGATATTTTGCTCGTCAGTAGAGTTCTTTTTCAAAATTATTACTTTTATTTAAGTTTGAGAACTTAATTTTGCAATAAAACGGTTGAAATAAAAAATTTTATTCCATAATTTGAAACAGTGCTAAATCTCAATTCTTAATCATGTCCATACAACTTGCCTCAAGGCAAAATTCTATTTACCAAATAAAACCCAAATATATAAACAATGATTATTACTTTATTGATAAATACTTAATTTTCGAAAACAATATTACATCATTTTAATAATAGAATTCTAATACAAAACGATCAGTACGATGAACGAACGAACGAACATATCAGGAATATATTTATAATATATAATAATTAATAATGACTTTAATAATAGGTGCTTATATCACTAAAACAATATAAGTAATAAATGACTATACAAATATGAATTTGACACAATATGACAACCTTAATAATCGAAAGATCACTTTTCTGTTGAAGCAAAATATAAAGAAATGTTATTCCCCTTGGGTAAAGGTTAGACAGATATCACGGACAGAGCGAGTACCTATAGATAAATTAATTAGATTGTTATAAAAGCTATTCACAACAGGATATTATGAATACATATATATATATATATATACATATATATATATATATATATATATGTATATAATATAATCTGTGTCTTCTATCCCCCAAGTGATCTCCTTACACATCTAACATACAAACATCATATTAGATTTACAAAATTCATACTTCATAGTAGCTTTTAATATTATTTAATTAGTTAAAATTGTTCAGTAACGGTTAGAGTTAAGTTGAGCGTTGATTGCTGCGGCTGCTGCGTTGCTTGCTGCGCCTTGAACGTGTTGATTGCGCATGAATTCGGTCGTGAACTCTTGTTGGGCCTTTGCAAAACTTGCTCCACTGCTTCGGTAGATTTTGTGAATCTGGGAAAAAGATATAAAAGATATATATATATATATATATATATATATATATATATATATTGTAGAGTTTTGAACAAGAATCCAAAAAGTAATAAAAAACAAAAAAAGTTTTTTAATAAACTATTTGTTAGTTTTAAGTGAGCTGATTTCTACTCTTTTTACTTCTATTTTGATGTATTCTATTTCCTTCGATTGCTGGACGTCAAATCCGGCTCAAAGGACCAATGTTTCTTCAATGGTTGTTTGATTGAATTTTGAAGGACCAAATTTGTTATAAACACTTTAATTCGTAAATTTATGTATTTATTTTCTGTTGAATATAAATTATTTTCGTATTTCTAATAATATTGGTTTTGATAACGTATTGATTGACTTTAATTTTTTGTATGATTTTTCTATTGATGATTTTTTGTTTTATCAATATATATCGGCTACTTTGATCCGGCTCGAAGGACCAATGTTTTTTCAATGGTTGTTTGATTGAATTTTGAAGGACCAATTGTAAAATACTTTAGTTATAACTGTATATATTTATTTTTTGTTAATTACTAGTTATAAATGTATTTACAATAATTTTAATAGGTTGTTTTAATACCGTATTGATTGACTTGACTTTTTATATGATTTTTTGATTGATGATTTTTTGTTTATATCAACGTTCCATCTTCAGAACATCTGTCAAGAAACATGATCTTGATAAGATTTAAGCAAACAATATGTTTAAGAAAAGAAAATGGATTTTTTAATTAATAAAACAGTTGAAAGAATAGAAATATGATAATATGATCAAAATAAAAATGATAAAAATAAATGAGTGGATTATATAACAGGATATTAAAAATGATGAAAAATTTGTAAGTTTTGGAAAGTTTTAAGAAAAAGTTAATGACAAAATTGAATTAATTTATCATTTTTAATATCCTGTTAGATAATCCACTCATTTATTTTTATCATTTTCATTTTGATCATATTATCATATTTATGTACATTATTATTTGTTACAATTAATTTATTATTTAAGAAAAATCTATTTTCTATTCCTAAACATATTGTTTGCTTAAATCTCATCAAGATCATGTTTCTTGACAGATGTCCTGAAGATGGAACGTACCTAGTTCCGAAACGTCGACAGTAAATAAATAAATGAAGAAATAGTTTATTAAAATAACTTTTTTTGTTTTTTTTTACATTTTGGATTCTTATATATATATATATATATATATATATATATATATAAATATATATATATAGGTGTGTAAGTGTGAGATTTTATTATACCTTAGATAAAAGAAATAAGTCTCCAGCCGCCGCCGTTCCGAATCCTATCGCAATCATCAATAGGAAAACTCCCACAACAATGCCCGATGCTGTCCCATCGAAACATTTTAACGCCACTGCTAAACCACTGAGAAATATAATAAAAAAAAACATTTATTATAATAACCAAGTTATTAACTATCTAAATGTTACTGTAGGGTAAGTTATAGTAATTGGCCAAAAATCAAAAATGAACATTTTTGCATTTCATTACGTCTCAGAGATTTCAGAACTAGTCCAATATTTAATGAGTATGAAAAAGAACTCTGACATGCAAATTAAATCTAGACTCTAAACAGGAAAAAAAGAACTCTACTAACAACCAATTATATGAAGAAAAGAAAAACAGATTCTCTCAAAGTCTCTTCAAAAAATAAACTAGTTTCAGTATAATAATTGTATTCAGTATAATAAGTTCAAGAATGAAAAAATGACGACTAGACAGAAAAAAATAATAATACTGACAACTAACGACTTGTAAAAAAAGATCAGGTCGAGCAAAATGTGTTTTAAAGCAACTGATAATGTTATATTTTGATCACAAATATTGACTCATGGACAGAAGTCAATAAATCTGAAGCAAAACTAGCTGTAAGTGGAATTCTGTCTTAAGGCAATTAAGGCATTGTGTCTTGAGGCAAATTGCTGGAACTTCCCGTACCAAAAATTATTTTTTTAAAAACAATTAACATTTTTGAAAATAAAAAAAAAATGTTTTCTTTATTTTGATATATTTTGAAAGATCTAAACTTTTTTTCCAAGCAATCGTACTGCTTTAACTGCAAAAAGACGAAATATCAAAGCGCGTAAGCATTGGTACGGAACCCATAGGAATGTAAACCAAAATTATACCTATTGTTAAAATCTCTATAAAATATCTGATAATTTGATGTGCATATGTCTAATGATCATTTTTGACCGCCAAATGGCACTTTTTTTGTTAGATCTCCGAAACCGCTAGACCTGCCTTTATGAAAATTTGATCAATTCTTCATCTTGTCAATACAAGTCAAATGTTTTTTGAATTATTAAAATCGGACGCTCCGTTCTCTTAAAAACTGAGTTACCGTTTTCGGCACTTTTTGCCCCGTATCTTCGGAACGGCTAGACCTGCCTTCGCCAAAAACTAATCAGCACGTCTCCTTATCAATACTAATGTTTTTTGAATTATTCAAATCGGTTGATCGGTGTTCCCGAAATCGTCGACGAAAATTTGTATCCGCACATACATACACACACGTACATACATACATACATACATACACACACACACACACACACACACACACATACATACATCCATTTTTTCTAAGGTATGCCAAAATATTCAGAAACCTTTGAAACGTAAAGATATATGAAAATTTTCATTTTCGATTTTTTTGCGATTACTATAACTTGCCCTACGGGAAGTTAACAAGATATAGTAAAAACTAAATGGAGAAGAGTACGGAATAAAATTTGTCAAGTTACTTAAAGAAATAGAAAAAATTGAAACATGATAACTACATGATGTAATTAATACAAAGAATATTATTATAAAAATTATTATTACCATGTGCCTGTTCCTGAAATTCCGATAGACTGAATTACAGTAACAATAAGTTGGAAGAAGAACACGAAGAAAAAAACCATGAAGTTGAAACTGGAATCGCTCCTGAAGGCTTTGTAGGCTGGTCTGAACCTAAATAGAAAAAATAAATACATACATAAAATAACATAATACATAAATATATATATATACATATATATATATATATATATATATATATATATATTTATGGTGTAGTCATTTACCAGCAAAGAAATGAAAATGGCGTAAACATTAATAAATACAGCAGTCCAAGGCCGAAGGTGGTAAAATCTCCATTGTGAAACAATAGTGCGATTCCACCCAGAAGATTAGTTGCCATCACTAACGTATGAACTGAAAGGAAAAACATAAATAAATTTACCAAACACTCATTCAGCCTGGTGGTAAATTTAAATTATCACTTACACATCCATAAATAATAAAGGTGCCGTACGATTTTTTGGAATTCGGAAGGTATGTCTACGTTGATGTCTTGATAGAAACAGGGTTGGAAACAGCATTTGTCCGGCAAAGGTGGCCAATTGTTTCTTCTAATATTAGCAGTACCGTTTCTTAATTCTTCTTCCCTGCGGTTCAGTTCTTCCGCTTTGCGTTCTAACTCTTCTTGTCTTCTCTAAAGGGAAAAAGAAATATATAAAAAATAGATATACACCTAAGTCTGTTTTTACACGGTAGATTGGTTCCAGAAGAAACCGTGTAAAAAAAAAACGTGTAAAAAAAGACATTGATCTTATACAAAAATGGGTGATTTGTTCCTAATCTCTAAAACCTATTAAAATTGGTGAAAAACAAGAATTTTTAAGAACAAGAATTCATGTTTATTTTATTAAATCAAATATATAATGCTTATTTTCACAAGCATAGTAATTAATGATAAAAATGATATACACTCTAATTTTAAAAGTAATATAAATTAAATGTATGGCAAGTTCAGGAACTAAAAACTATGTTGTGAACGAAAAGAATAGGTTATTACTTAAATCTGACCAGTAAATTTTATTGTGTGCACATAAAGGGAATTCCCCTAAATTAGTGCTATTCACATTTGCTTTGACCAGTAAAAATTGTTTGTACGCGCTAAAGGGGAATTCACTTAAATCTTTAAGCTAGTGTTTGCAAACTATCGATACTATCGATGGTTTCAGACTTTTTTCTTTCATAAATACTTTTTTGTGATATGAACATACTTCGCAAAAATTAAATTTGACAAAAAAAATTTAGGTACATAAAATTTCAAATCGTGCTAAATGGAGTAAATTCGTGTAAAAAAATTAAAAATATTCAATTTTCAAACCGTGTTATATCAAAACCGTGTACAAAAAGACCGTGTAAAAACAGATTTAGGTGTATATCATGATTCTTATTACAGTTTATGAAGTGTTTCCATTACTACTTACTTTCAATTCCTGCAGCACGAATCAATGCATTATACAGATTATTATTAAATGTTATGATAAAGTATGATTTGTTGTTTTAGACATAAATATCTTACTTGGAATTCTGCTGTTGTAATTTGTGAAGGTTCCATATTGACTGTCGATTGTTGTGCACTTCTAGTGTAGGCTGGGGCGGCTTGGGGCTGGTTGGACGGTTGCATTATTGCTGGCTCTCCTCCTCTATTCTGTTAATAGAAAAATGAAATATGTTATAGATAAATCTATATATACTAGGGTGGTCCTTAATATGGATGTTTTCAAATTTCTTTGCTCCTAGAAGCTCAAATACTTCAAAAATAATAAAAAAACAATTCTCTGAAAGTCTTAATATTAACTTTAGGATAGTCCGCACTCCTAAGTATTCCCCTTAGGTTAATTTGCACTAGGTTTATTGCGCTGTTTAATGGTGATTCCACTAATTTTTGTTATATTCAATATTTTATTAAGGTTTTGTTCAATTTTCAAACCGTGTAGGAGTGAATTTATGCTACAAAACAGCCGTGATATTCCCAAGTCTCTCTCATGTTGGACTGTCTTATATGGGTGTTACCTATATATCTATACCATCTGTTACATTACGATTACAATTTGTGTTTCTTTTACACTTACCACTACTGGTGTTGGTTGATCAGCAAAAGGATTATAATCTTCCAAACCTTTCTGGACATTACTAGTGTTACTGGCTACTTGTTGAACAGCAGGGTCCTAATACAAAAACACAATATATATACAAAACACTCTCATAAATTATATATGTATCAATTATTATTATTATTACCGCAAATGGGTTATCGATAGTGGGCGGCCCAAAAGGGTTTTCATCAAAACCGGACATGGTTATTTCTATTATTTACGATATTATACTTAAGTATTTTTGTATTAGATGATCAATTCAGATGTAGTGTATTAAAATCATTTCTCATAGACTGTTTTATAATTACATTATCCTATATAATCTCATTTGTGTATCAATCAATTCAACTTTTGACAAGATGACAAGTCCGCTCGAGTTATCTCTCGGTTTCTTTGTATTGACGATTTGACGTAGCAAGACATAGAGGGTCGGAGTGGAAAGATTAGAAATAATTGACAATTAGAGGAATATTTTGATTAAATGTGTATGAATTTAGTAAAATTTTTAATTATGAATCGTTATTGATCCATTAATTAAGCGTTAATAATAAATATTAATGTATTTTTGTAATTTGGATAACGTGTTAGGATGTACGCGCGCTGGATACAAATGTCGTCTTTCTGTCGCATACTTCAGACTGTAGACGTTATATATATATATATTCAATAGATAATTCCTGGATTTTTTCAATATATTGATTGTTTCTTTTCCGAACAGTAAATCCAATAATAAAAAACAATTTGTTTTTTGAAGATGTTTAATACGACGTTTCGGAACTAGATACGTTCCATCATCAGGTTTATTCTGTAATTCACACTTAGTGTGTTTAAGTCTTGTTTAGTCGTAACATCTATAAATATCTTCCAAAAAAATCGAGTGTTTTTAACAAAAAAATATTAGTGATATGGATATATAAATTATAACAGAATAAACCTGATGATGGAACGTACCTAGTTCCAAAACGTCGTATTAAACATCTTCAAAAAACAAATTGTTTTTTATTATTGGATTTACTGTTCGGAAAAGAAACAATCAATATAATATATAATGTATATATATATATATATATATATATATATATATATTTATATACTAGCTGTCCCGGCAAAAGTAGTTTAACCATAAAAAATATTTTTAGAAATTGTGGAATTATGTAGTATATAAGTGAGACGAAGCTAACCCAAATAATATGAACGATTTACCCACTGCAACGCATTTCTCATATAAATGTTTTTGAAGTATATTTATAGTTATCTTAAGTGCCAGCTTAATTTGGAACAGATCTCATTCAAATTTAATTGGCACATTTAGATATTCAAGGTATTGACATGTTATTACAGCATTTTTCTTTAATTATTTTAAGTTTTGAACTACAAAGAGAAATCCGCATTTTACTTTTTTGATTTTTGATTTTTGTTATGGCATGTTTAGCAAATCGAGCGATGCTTTAGAAACTTTTTAGAAAAATTTACAACTTTGCCCTAAGTTTGTATAGTACCCAATTCCTGCTCAAAAACTTTGTATCTTGAGATTTTAAAATTTGATATTTGATATATTTCTAAAATTATTCTTGCTGCAAGCCATTCAAAGTACAAAGAATAATCTTGTAAATTAGATTATGAAAGAATTGATCAATAATGTTACGTGTTTAGCTTTATCGATGGTAACCTATCCATCGCTTTTTTCATTTCCATATCATAAACAATTAAAATTATGAAAAAAATGATTCAAAAATAAAATTAAAATGTTAGGGATAAACAGCCATTGATAAAAATATGTAAATTTTTGGAGCAAAATTTAAGCCATTGCATAAGTTTATGAAAATCTTAATGAAAAAGGGGTGGTGAAAATTTAGGGCTTATGTGTTTTTGATTAAAAATTATAGAAGTAAAAAATATGAGTCCAAAATATAAATCAAAATCTTGAGGGTGTAAAATAGTACAAAATAAATTTATTTTGTTATATATTATACTAAATTTTCTAATAACAGTAATAAAATATTATACTATAATTGTTAGTGAACCTACAAGTAAATCCTCAAATATTCTGATTACTGTGGATATTAATTAATTTTAATGAAATTATCTAAGAATATTAATATTATAAATTAATTTCGGTTTTTGGTAAGTGTACCGTATTCCGGCATATTGAGTACCTTTGAAACGTAATCATTTTTAAAGATTACGTTTCAAAGGTTTCTGAACAATTTGGCATACCTTAGAAAAAATATATATCTATATATATATGTGTGTGTGTGCGTATGTGTGTATTTGTGTGCGGAAACAAATTTTCGTCGACGATTTCGGGAACACCGATCGAACGATTTGAATAATTCAAAAAACATTCGATTCCTATTAATAAGGAGACGTGCTGATTAGTTTTTGGCAAAGACAGGTCAAGCCGTTACGGAGATACGGGGCAAAAGTGCCAAATACAATAATTTTTTGAGAGAACGTAGTATTCGATTCTAATAATTCAAAAAACATTTTATTTGTATTGACAAGATGAAGAATTGATTATATTGGGAATTTTTGGGAAGGCAGGCGTAGCGGTTTCGGAGATCTAGTAAAAAAGGTAACTAAATTTGCATTGTAGAACATAATTTATAGAAGCAATCGGTTTTTTCTTCTACAAGGCACTACATTTGCACTATTT